CTTTGGGCATCAAGGACTTTAATTTACTTCGACGAAAAAGAGGGACTTTTTCCTGTAATAGTACATAACGTTCACTTTCTGCAAATATATATGAAAAAGAAAAAAATCCTCGACAAATGTATACGAAATAGTTTTGCGAAGTTTATTATCAACAAAACGAAACAAAATTGCGCCAGTAGGGATTAAAAGAAGAAATATTCCGTGAATGAAACTCTGTTTTTACCAGGCAACTTAAAACGGCTTCGTTATCAGATGATTTCCGCTACTGGCCGTTTGTGCCAACTTATTTACCAGCTTTTTCTTCGAAACGCGTGGCCGGCCGTACACACACCATTCGGGCTGAGCCTCACCTCGCATTGATGACTGAATGCCTCATTATTAGAGCAAAGAGCATGTAGCACGAATAATGAATTTGAATGTAAGGAAAAACGGAGTCAAGAAAGAAAAGAAGAAAAATAATTGGAAATAAGAAAAAAATAAGAAGGGGATATGTAGAATGAGGAGAAAGAGGAGAAAAAGAAAAGAAGGACGAAAAAAGGAAAATTATAAAGAGGAGAAAGGAATGAATTAGAAGGAAACAGGAGGAATGATGAAATAGGAGGGAGGAAGTAAGAACTCCAACGACTAACCTGAGGAGACACCCTCCAGAGGGCGTAGCACCTCCTCAGAGCAGGAGCGCAGCCACACGGACACGTCGCAGTTGGGGTAGAGGTTCTCCTGCTGACAGTGCGGTTGCCTCGCGTCCTCGGCGACATCCTTCGCGACGACGGTGTCGCTGCGCGGTGCCAGACGCCGCGGGAACAGCGGGCTCCAGCGGAACTCTGGGAACGCGGCTGGTGCCAATCGATTGGCCTTTGCCTGGACCTTGACTTTGTCTGACGGCATCGCTCTCTACCGGCTGTCTTCGAGTCTCTCGGAAACTACGATTTATAAGAGAAATTTACACGGTGGGTGACATACCCCGAACGTTTATTATAACTTTGGCAGATTACGTTGATTTTGATGTCTTTTCTAAGTGGGAATTACAAGTGGGATCACAAATGGATGTTTCTTATCTTTCGTTAAATATTATATTTGTGACTAATGATACCACGGCAACAGAATATCACAGCTTTACGTGTACTTTGAGGATGACTATTGCAATTGTTATTATTCAATGGTCAGAATTGTTATCTCAGAGAACCAGACCTGTGACTGTGGTCAATGATAATTCCCATCAAAATTTATTTCAGAGCAATTTTTGTTTTTACGAAAAAAAAGTGTACCTGGAAAGTATTGTTGATACAATAAATACGCGTTTTAACTCAAATTGGTGCTTTTCAGGCCCTGTAACGAGTAGACTAGCATCCGATCTGATTCGTCAAAACCCGAACTCGTCTTTTGAGGTCGAAAAGCTAAAACGAACCCGGTGGAGCTTGTAAACGAGGCGTGGGCCTACACTCGATATACAGTGACAAGCGCACTGCAAGGAGCAGGCTCCTGCAAACGCTTATATAATCGCGCGCTCCTCCCACACTCTTTCCCACCCTTCCCCACCCCACGCTCCTCCACCACACCGCTTTCTACACCTCCCCCCTTCCCGCCTCTGCGCGTGCGGACAAGCGAATTTCAGACATAAGCATTATCGGATCAGTTTGTGTAAGAAATTATATATTTTGATGTTGATATTTAACCTTATATACTGGGATTAGAACAGTATGTTCTTTGAAGTTCACGCGCTTGCAGCAGAAGGGGACACTGTGATCGACCCGTGAGCTTCGTTACGACTTACATATTGGGTACTGAAGTTCTCGATTGGATCATCCACCCCCATCCGCTTTCAGCATGTGTCCTTGAAAATAATTCATATTTTAATCAAAGTTTAGTTATGTATGTTACAAGAGAGAAAAAAGGTTTTATTCACATGTATGAAAGTTTATCTTTTTTCTCTCTATAGTATACGTTATTTTATTCATTATCGCTTAGTAAACGAAAGCGATAAAGTTTCAACGAACTATCTATACATTACACGTATATTCAAACGAATGCCAAACCTGTGTGTACGCGTGTAGAATGAGGTTGACACGTTAACATAAGATTAATAACCAGGTTTATTACGAAAAATTGAGGTTTATTTAGTTCTCTCTCTCTCTCTCTCTCTCTCTCTCTCTCTCTCTCTCTCTCTCTCTCTCCCCTCTCTCCCCCTCTCTCCCCCTCTCTCCTCCTCTCTCCTCCTCTCTCCCTCTCTTTCTTTCTCTCTTTCTCCCTTTCTCCCTTTCTCCCTTTCTCTCTCCCCCCTCTATTTCTCTGTCTCTCTTTCTCGCGCCATGTACCATAAGGTTGAAATATTCATGTATTAAACTTAAGGGTGATATCTCAATAGCACAAAAATAAACTATCAGCTTCATGAGGAGAAACCAAAATGACACAAAAGTTAACATGAATATGTTTATACAAGAAAATAATGCTCTACACAATCGGACACTGACAAGTTTAATTGATCCGGGTTGTTAGTTAACAGGTCAATTTGGATTATCCATTGTAGCACAGTGAAACGTCGTAGAAGATATTAAAATGAAAATTCCTCATCTCAAAATGACAAGTTTGTAAATTCAAGCAAGTTGACATCACAATTTTTTCTCTCGGATAAACAAACCATCGCTTTCTGGCAGTTGTCAACCCTCGGCTAGACCAGTGCGATAACGACCATTGCTAGGGCCGATCGTTCGAGCTGTGCAAACAGTGCCAAGTTTTGAAAAGTGCAGTATTTTAGTTATAGAAAAGTGAACAAATCAAATTACAATATTTCATTGCCACATGTTGCTTCACTAGAGTGTAACTCACTGATACCTCACATACAGTTTTTACTGCTTTTTTACTAAATAAATCCAAATGCAAACTGATTCGAAGCGCAATAGACGCCACTTATAACAAAAATTGTAGTGAGTTGTTCAACGGTGTTCCGTACACCCCAGTTCCTGCAGCATATAAAGACATCGCGAGTGCAAAGTAAACAAAATTGTGAATTAGAACAAGTACTATAGCTTCAGCAACAGTCACAGCAACTCCAACTTAAACAACAGCTGGCAAGATTTATTATATTCTCAACAATTAAATCAATGTAACTATTTAAATCAATTTGTTAATGTGCAACATGATAATTCTACAGTTCAAGGCGAGTGCAGAGGCACGAAAAGGAAACTAAGGTTACCAACGGATGCTAATGAACAAGGCGAACTAAGTTATACCGAACCAACAGGAAACAGGTTTCAATGTTTACTAGAGGTAATTGAAGAAGGAAAAAACGCAAATTCAGACTTTAATGTGAGTTAAAACGAAAGTTTTGACAATATCAAAATTCTACCCAATTCCCAATCTCCAAAAAACACAGACATTATTCACAATATTTCTGCATTTGTGTCGAAAGTTAAAACCATAATTGCTAATGATTTTTCAACCAAAATTACTGAAAATCACATATCAATATTACTTACTTCAATTGAAGATTTTCGAAAATATCGTCAATCGTCATTTGTGATTCACAGACGATTTAAAGAAAAACTAACAGTACTTCTCTTATAGAGATCCAACGAAAAACAACCCTTCGTTCCTATTGAATTGTAGCGTTTTGCCACGCTCAAAAGAGACAACCACGTGGAAATCGGCGAAGCATCGCCGGAAGTTGAACAAAATGAGGCAATGGGGGCGGCGTGTAGAGCCTATATAAGGCCTATATAAGGCCTATATGAGGCCAGGAGAACAATGCCATAGTCTTCTTGTTCTAGCGGCGTCGGCGACAGGTGAAGTGTGTGTCTGTACGTGTAGGTGTACTGGGGCGATGGGCCGGCAATTCATTGTCGTGACTTGCGAGACGCGTAGATGGTCTCAAAGTAGAACGGCTTCATACAGGGAACATCGGTGGTATGTTGCGGTGTGGTAGCCGATCTTAAATTATCTCTCCTTGTAGTGGGACTATTTATTTAGATTATTGTGAGCAGGGTAGTTGTTAAATTGAGACTACGGTCTAGATTGTTAAAATATCTACTGTTGTACAAACCACTCTCGTCTGTAATCGATTACGAGAAGACGAGAAGTAGGAACTATTATGATTTTTCAAAATCCTCCTCACCAGAAATGACTTTTCAATCTAATTCTCAATGCAAATCAAATGCTCAAAAGAAAGGCTTTTCAAATATCCCCCCGAACAAACATTATACAAGAAGTTATCCAAATTTACCAAATGTACCATGAAATCACAAAATGTTCTCAGGAATAGATATTCAATTTCATCATTTCAGCCAAATAATTACAATTCCATAATTCTAATTATAACATCTCAAATTCTAAATACATTAGTTCCACAAATACAAAAATTAATTTAGCAACTATTGTAAATAATATTAAATAATGGACAACAGTTCTAAAATATATTAGTTAATTGGAATGCCAATGGATTATTTAGACAACTCTCAGAATTTAAGCATTTTCTTCATGATCGAATGATAGACGTAGCTTGTGTGCCAAAAACACATCTTAATAACTTAAAGATGAGTATAGCAGGATATAAAATTTACAGAGGAAACAGTCTCTCAACTCATACAGGAGAGGAAGTTGCCATAATTATAAATGGAAGGCTTATTCATGCTAATATATCAGTACCAACTTCACAATACCTAGAAATGGTCGCCATCCAAATATCTCTTTCCATCAGTAAAATTACAATAATTTCCGCCTATAAACTCCTAAATAAACTACTTCCAATTAACATTCTAAAAACAATATTTACTAACAATGACAAAATAATTTTAATGTGAGATCAAAATGCAAAACACAGAGCATGGGGATATAGAACTACTACCCCTCAAGGAAAAGTACTATTTGACATTTCCACAGTTGAGTTTTTGATCATTCAAGCTCTTGTTCACTCATTATACTTATAATATAAATTTAAATCCAGACATACTCGACATAATACTTTCTCAGAATATAAACATAACAAAATTTCAATACTCAATTCCAGCTTTAAAGTCGGACCATGATCCCAATTTAATAACTTTTCATACATTTTTTCCCAGCCTTCTACTCTCGCAACTCTCTTATTTGGGATAATTTTCAGACCAACATTATAAATTTAGACTCATATCCAAACAATCTATACACATCTGAGGACATTGACCCAGCAGTTACAGATTGTCAAAATAACATATATACAGCTATTCAACTTTATACATCTAAAATTTTCACAAAAATAATAACAAATCCGATACCTAAACCTTGACTGAACTTAAATACTTATAAACGTAGAATAAAAAGAATGTGGCAAATTACCATAATTCATCAATTAAATCTTCTCTGAATATTCTAACAGAAACGTTTAAATTTAATTGGAAATTCATAGACCTACACAATTAGAACCTAACTCTTCTTCACTTTGTTCAGCTATAAAAGTAATAACTAATAATGAGCAACGTATATAAACATTAAAAACAGGAAATACAGAGGCTATTACTGACGAAGAAAAAGCAGAAACCTTAGCAACCCCCTTCGATTTCGCGGACCTGGCATTCCAAACAGAATTTATTTTGTGGGGTACTTTACATATAGCATCTGGGACATATTCAGAATTTTAAAGCAATGGCTCCAAATTTTTTGGCTGACTGGCCTAATTTTTAGAAAATTGGAAAAAATATAAAACTTTGAAACTGGATATACAGATTTCTGTCTTAATGTCTGTTGAACAAAATTAGCTCTTCAAAAATGGTCATCTACAATTTTTTGAAAAAATGAGTATGTTTTGCTTATTTTGCGATTTAAATTTACAAAAAACTTCTCAAAAACCGCTATAAAAATATGAAAACTACAAAATCGAAGATATAGATTTTGCTTATGACAAAGTCTGTTGTACAAAAGAATCTCTTTAAAAAATATCATTGACAGTGTTTTTTGAAAAAGCGTGTAGTTTTGCATAATTTATACGTAAATTAATGAAATACATACTGGTTTCACACCAACTGCGGGCCGCGAGAAAAATTGAAAGAATGATATGACAAATAAGTAACTTAATTTTAATTATAATTTATTATTGAAAATGCCAATATTAATTCCATGGTTCCTTTCTCACCTTTCTTACTATATACTCAATGCATATTCTCAATGTATTGATAAACATGCATGTATTGATTTAACATTACTTTTTAGCAATCCGCAAAGCTTAATAGAAATTTTGTAAAAATGCCGCATCAATTGCCAAGCACTTGTGTAGCACTTATTTTGTTTATATCTTCTCTTCTAAGTCACTATGCGCTCTCTTTGTTGAAAAGCAATAGTGTTTTTCGTGTCTGAAGTGTGGATATTAGAAGTCGGTGATGAAATGAAACGCTGTCGGAACTGTTATCTTACGTCGAAAGGCATCTCACGAATGTTTCTAATTATTTTCATGTCTATTGCATACACTATAGTTACTGTATTGATATAATTAACCACGTGAATGCATATAGTTTTGGTAACCCTGTGCTTCCAACAGTGCGTTGCTCACGTCTTGTTTCAATTAATGGACATTGGACGTTTTGAAATAGTGGCTGAGGTGTTAGTAGCACAGAAAATGCAATATTTCTATATTACGTAGCTGTTTCTAATAGCGCGAGAAGGTATGTGCTGTGGAAGCACCACTAATTGTTTTGTGTGGGTATTGGTGCTCATGACATTTTTTACTTTGGGAATGACCTCTAGAAAATGTAATTTTACATCCGATGAATTGCTTAAGGAGAAAAGGAATTTATATAAATTAGAAACCTTGTAAAAAACAAAAAAAAATTAAAAAAAAATAAAAAATGCAAAAGTCAACAGTAGTCAATTTCATCAATTCCCAGTTATGTTCGGTTTCAATAGAAGTAGCAACTTGAATAGCTGTGATATCTGCAGATTTTAAAATTGCAAAAAGTCCCGGTCCCAGATCCAAGAGGGATCAAATATTTGCACTTGGGGACATTTCATTTTCTGAGCGCTGTTTCGTATAAGCCGCAGGAAACAGCTGGTCAAAAAGAACGCGGAGACAGACGGCCGCCCAGATGAGAACACGAGGTACAGTTACCTGAGCGGGTGAATCTTGACACTTGAGGGGCAGCGAGTATTTTTTTGGCAAACAGCTACAGCATATTTAGATTTCATCCAGTGATAAATCCTCTTGTAAGATACTTATTCCATTTCAGATGATTTAAAATATAAGAAATTGTTCGAAACTGAAGTGGGATGTAGGATAATCTGAAGTGGATAACAGTTTCTTATATTTGAATCATATCTGAATTGGGAGAAATATCTTATTAATGGATTTATCGTTGGATGAAATAAAAATATGCTTTAGCTGTTTGTCAAAAACCGTGTAAATTGGACCTGTGTCATCTTTGTAATTGTATTTCACTATATTCCTACAAGAAATTTATGGGAAAAAATGGATCCATTTTTGAAACAAAAAATGGAAATACCCCTAAAGTCTCCCTAATATTTCAAGAATGATTTTGAAAGTCATAGAGAGTCATAGAGAGAGCCATTCTTACCCTTGAATATTAATTTTTGAAAAAAAAATCGTATACAAATAGTTTAGGCCCCAGTGTAGGTGGGGGAGCGACGTGTTTGAGACGGTCGGACGTTTTGCCGGAAACCAATATTTCGGAATCAAGTATACACAAATCATGGATTCTGACTACACAGTTAAAGGACGTACCTTACTACACTTTGAACCAAGACATATCCAGTTTTTTCTGTATCAGGGTGGCACGTTACGAGTTTTTCTGTAGAAATTTCGCCGTTTTCTGCCGCACCATGTCATTTCTCTATAGAAGCCGTCCACAAATTTTGTAACAAAACTTTGGAGTATTTTCAATACTCCATCTCTCCCTTGTAACGCATACTAACGCGCGATTGAACCCCACTAAATAATTACGTAACACTTGCGACAACCCGTGCCACAGATCACCCTTCCCCCCTCTTTAGCTTTACGTAATTTATGGACGATCACATACTACTTAAATTACTACATATATACGTACGTTTTCGTTCCGGAAAAATGTCAAACAAATAGTTTCACACTTTATTTATACTTTTTATAATTAACGTGTCTACATTAATTCAAGAATCCATGCAGACAAGTTGCGAGAACAGGTAGTCATGAATATTTTGTGATGTCATCAATATGCAGTATTTCTTTAATAACTACAGATTGTCCAATGCAACTTGTTGGCCTTTCTCACAATTTTCATTATCACATTATGTCTAAGAATATAATACAAGTTTTATTTTCACACTGTTAATTGCAATATTTTCTGCGGACTTCCTTGTAGACATGCTCCGTCTGGATTTTGACTGTCTTTCATTTTTACTCCAAGTTTCCTGATTAAAATCATTCGGACACGGAATGATTCTGACATGACGCGGTGGACGTAATGATACAATGTGTTTCAGGAAAACTTTTTTTGTAAATGCAGTTACTCTTTTCGAAATATATCCGCACTATTTTTTCGTCCATAATATCCGCACTTTTTTTCGTCTTAAATATATTTGATGCAAGCTCGCGGGTAATTCGCCGCATATAGTTAGAGGAGATTACCACTTCCTTTATATATAATACGCCAAGGAAATCGAATAAATTTTCCGTTTTTTCAGAAAGTGCGGACACAAACTTCGAAAGTGATTACTGTTGGATAGGAAATTGGAATTACAATTTCAACTAGAATTACCCCTTCCCAAGGATACATGAATGGATTTCAGAAGAAAAACATAGAAGTTTGGTAATTCTAGCACTTTCGAGTAATCAGTTGGTCTAGCAACCCACAATACACAAAACACCCACACACCTTAGTATCGTGTTTAACTCAGAAACGATGCGTCCAAATATCTTAAAAATAGGCTTTCGGATCAGAGACAGCAGTTAAATTTTGTATGTCCTAATCTACAGAATGAGGTATTTTCAGACGTTCTTCTTGGTTTTTGGAAGACTTCCTATGTCTTTAACGCGAGTTGGCGGAATCGCGGAGAGTTTGTTTCCTGTGTAAATCTATTTTCACTAAAATGATTGAAAAATCTCTATATTTCTGAGAGGGTAATTTTTTGTGAAAAATTTTAAAAAGTCGTTATGTTGTTCTGGGTATCTGCTCTTCTGAATCCTCTAGCTATTCAAAACTTCCTTTTCGAGCCCTCAGAGGAGCCAATATCTGTCGGCATAAATTTATAAAAGTATATCTTGATAAAAAACGTTATATCAAATTTTAGAATTATTTAGTAAAAAACAAAACAGTAAAAACGGTATGTCACGTATGGGGGATATCATCTGCGCATCATTTTCTTAAGTTCCAGAATCCTTTCCAATCATTTTAACTATAAAATGATGAGAGATGAGTAAACGTTTAAAATAAATAAATAAATAAAGTAAGTTTTAAAAAAGCGCGAAATTAGCAATATTCGAAAAAAAAACAGTCACATATTTGCATCGGAAACGAATTGCAAGTATGATTTTTCTGCAATGCTAACAAAATAGTAACTCGCTCTTACCTCTACTGCTACCATTACAACAAAGAGGAGAGTTCAACAAAACGTTCACATAGTGAAGCTACATTTACGTCCAGAAGCAAAACAAGGGGCCATCTCAACATTTTTCAATGGATCAGGTAAAGTGGACAAAAACCTGATCGAAATGGAAGCTTTCAAATTTTCAGTTTGATTTTCAGATGAACATGTGCAAAAACATGCTGGGGGGGGGTTAATATCTTAGGAGAATGTATACGGAACTTGCGGAAAAACAATTGAGTGAAATGCGAGAAACGTGCAACACTACGCGTGGGAAACAAGTTGGAAAACACGAGTGGAATTCTGCGGAAAATATGATGGGAAAATGGGAATGAACATGTGTGGAACTTGCATGAAACATAAATTCTTGGCTATCCGGGAGATGCCGCGTCGTTAGCTGAGAGGTCGACGTTCGCCTAACATATCGCAAGCTTCCTCAGAGCAGTGACACTGCGGCTTTATTTTTCAGTTTTCCCCCCTCTAGTTAGTCCTGGAGAGGCAGGATTTTATTTGTCTTTGGGATATATTATGTATAACTGCATCCGATTTGGCTTGGGCAGTTAGTAAAGGCTTTATTGCTTATAAAATAAAACTATCTTATAACTATAACTATATACATTCCCACTTTAGGGTTTGTTAGTTTTTAGACATTTAAAAAAAATTATTGGGAGATCTTGAAATTGTTCTATTTTCTTTTTTAATTTTTTTCCCTCACTCGCATTCACACTTATACTCGTAACAATTATACTTACAAACGCATCTATTCATTCATTCATTCATACACACAACACTGTATACACTTTTAAAGCACGCCAGGGCGCCGACTTTAATCAACTGTCCGTGGCGCCGCGGCGTCTTCGGTCTCCAGCGACGCTGGCCCAGCGGAGCGCGCATCCGCGCTGCCCGCGCGGTTTCCGGCATCCGTGAGCGGCGATCCCCTGTCACGCACTTGCTGCTCCCCCGCGTCGCAGAGCTCAGAGAGCTTGTGCGGGGGCAGTGCGCGGAAGGTGAAGGCGACGTGCTGTGGGCCTTTTCTTCTGTGGAAGGCCCTGTGCACGCCGCTGATCGCTGCCTTGCCGGTCTCGCGCAGGATGCGCGGAGCGGACGGCCTCAGCGCCCTTGCGAGCGCCGTCTCCGCCCTCTTTTGTAGCTCCAACGGGGACTCTAAGATTCTGAAGACTGCGGTGCTACGCGCCCGGTGTTAAATACTATCTTGCCTGGTCGCTCGGGAGGGGCAGGTGCGCCGTGATTGGCGGAGGGATCTCTCTGATTGGCAAGCGGTCTGGGCCAACCTGGACCCCGCGCCAGACGTCCCCCTAATCAGACCGAGTTGAACAGCTCCTTGATGGTTCCGAATGAATGGTAGGAGAGATTTCCGAGCGTGGTCAAGGGTGAGGCCTGCGTCCACGTTGATGGTTTGCGGCTGTCTGTTTATTTCTAGTTCCTCTTTTATACGTCTCAGCCAGTACCGGTTTTCATTGTGCAGGAGCGGGGTCTTGTCGAAGTCTATGGCATGTCTCGTAATCTCGGAATGGTACGCAATAGCCGAACGGTTGGTGTTGTTCCTGCTAAAATTGGCGATGTGTTCTTCGAGTCGCTCGGACACAGTGCGTCCAGTGTCGCCAATGTACGTCCTGCCCCAGCTGCAGGAAACTTCATATACGTCTGCCGACTGGAGAGGGGGTAACGCATCTTTAATGCGTACGAAGGCGTTGTGCAGCTTATCGGGTGCTTTGAACACCGTACGGACGTTGTTCTTTCGTAGTAATAATATTCCTACACGATCGGTAACACAGCTGACGTATGGGAGCACGGCTAATCTGGAACGAGGACTCTCCTCGGTTTTCTAAGAAGCGTGGCGATCTTCGGCGTTGCTGCGGCACTGAGAGCCACAGCGTCCGTCGGGACGGCTGAAACCTCCGGAGAAGCCCGTGGCATAGGCAAGATGTCGTTTGATCACTTGCAGCGATCGGCAGCTTGACGGCTGCAAGCGATATAACGAGATCATCTCATTCATAAGTATTAAGAGAGACACAAAGACGCTACTACAAACACAGACAAGACGAAGACAAACAATTACTGAAACAGCTACAAAGCCATATACATAGAAAATCATAAATTAAGAATAACATAAATATGACGACTTATTGACAGACAAAAGCAGCCCCAACGACCTCCATAAAGTGATACGCGCAAACCCCACCAAAATTCCCTCCTCTAAAAACAAGTACCAATGATACCAGTAACCTTCGATCCCCCCAAAAAATTACAAACACTTTTGCCCACACCCTGGCTATGAGATACCTTCCCCCCAATATCCTTATTCCAGATACTGTAATACTAAGATACCTGAGATCCCCAAACCAACCTCTTACTCAACGTCCCTACACAACAATTAACAGAGAAATCTTACAGATCCTGAAATCGATAAATCTTAACAAATCTCCCGGTCCAGACTGAATCGTCCCCTCTCAACTAAACCACTTTCCCAAAATCGCCATCAACCTCGTCACTAAAGTCCTGAACACTTGTTTCTCCTTTCCCATTTACTGGAAAATCGCCCGCGTATGCATGATACCGAAACCCTGCAAAGATCATCAGCTTCCTTCCAATTACCGTCCCATCAGCCCACTCCCAATCTTAAGTAAATTGTTTCAAAAAATAATCCTCTGTCTTTACCCCATCCTAAACCCATTTATCTGCCTGGTCCAATTTGTTTTCCGGGAGGGCAGTTCTGCC